ACAGCAGATTTCTATTGAAGGCACATACAAGCCCCTCCCCGACGATCAAATACGACACTCCCCCTTGACAACGGAACACGACCCCCCCCCTATGTGTTCCACACGAGGATGCTGTACACGTGACGACATGTTCCGTCAACTCCACCAAAAGCGCAGAAGCCACCACGATCCAATGAAGAACGCGGCCGCGCCATCCATTATCCCATTACCGAGGAGCGGGTATACCCCTACTGAATTAGAACAGGTTGCCAGTACAGCGAGGGTACTTGCGGACTAATTGCAGATTCCTCGCATCCACTTTGGGACTAGTTTTGCCTCGTATGAGACTTGCGCCAATCGTACTTTTTTATTAATTGGGCCTTGAACGGCAAATCTCACGTTATAAGGATGTATTTAATTGAAGCGGAAGGAGCGAAACCAATGCGTCAAAAGCACCCTAAATTGAGCTTTTTAGCGCTGCATTGTTCTAGCTAAGATCAAGAAAGTTAAGTCTGGGATGGGTACCGGACAAATCAAGTGAGAGAGAACGAGCGAATGAGATAAGAGACACCCCTGTCACGCTTCCTTCAGCGAGAAGATAGATTCCGTAGGTGCGAGTAGTTAGGAATATGGGTACCAAGCGCTCCTACTGGTTTTGGAGCTTCATGGAGTGCCTCCCCGAGCAGAGCGCGCGGACTAGGTTCTGTCCGAGGAAGCTAGAATGCAGATGGATAAAGGGAAATGACCGGATGCACTGAACACAAGAACAGTAAACGCAGGCCCCTTCTACGGAGATTAAAGGGGACCAAGCTTCGAGTCATGTTTAAGTCAGGAAACGCGAAGCCACAGTTGATGGTCGGCTCTTTAGGCAAGAGAGCGCGAACTAGAACGGTAGACTGGCGCTGTTAAAGACAGCTCCCGCGATAAAAGTGTCAAGGATAATTGCTGATCAATTAACAGTAGCTGATAAGTAATTCCTCAATGAAGGAAAAAAGAAACAAGAGCCCTCAAGAACACCATAAACAAAATCGCGCCCTGACAGTCACACCTCCCTGCGGTCTCTGTGCAAGCCCTGGCTCACAAATCACTTTGTCACATCTCCCAGTAGTGGATATCATCGAATGCGAAGAAAAGAAAACAAAAAACAACAGAAACATAGAGGAAAAACTCTTGAAAAGAAAAGGAAACATTTAAAAAGCCGGCGTCCGAACTTAGGGTTACGGTAGCGAGCATGTTTTAGTGTAGTGAAGTGCGTCGAGCTTTTGCACCACAGAAATTGCATCATTCGTGATTTTTACGCGTTTTACCTTACGAGATGGGTTGCTGTTGACTGTACGTGCTCCCAATGAATAAAATGTGATGAAGGAGAGCAGAATTATTCATGGAGCACGAGCGCGGTCAGCAAAAAGGGCATGCGATTCCGATTAATGCCCGCCGCCCCAACAAAGAACAACTGAGCGGCCCTCCGTCAGAGGGCATCTAGCAAGTGAGGCGGTCCAACTGAGCAGGCGTTAGAACTAGAACTTTGAGCGGTTCTAGCTCGCTCCTCGCTCGCTGAGGAGTCGCGAGAGTGAGACAGTATCTAGCTTGGGGGCTGAACTACCTGCCCAAGGAAGGACGACCATGTACTACTTGAGCGCGGGGGCTGTCTTTAAAACGAAGGCGTCCAACATCTTAATAGGCCACCTTTGTACTTCTACAGTCTGCTTTGACTCAAAAATGTGTTCTATTAAACACTTACTTAGTCTAATGGATCATCAATGGTTCTAACCAGGGCACGCCGTCTTTGTGATAATCACAACAGGGGGGTCGTATTTGACCGCGAGGGAGGGGGTCGTATTTGTCTTTGAGAGGAATTTGCGGCGTTGGGAAAAAAAACTTTTCCCGGTTGTTGGCTTTTTGCGATTTTTCCCGTTTCACTGGTGTTATATACTCCTCTTGCCCCTCCCCCGATAGCTGAAAAGAGTATTCAGTTCCTGAGGACCCCCCCCCCTCCCGCTCGACAGCAAAACTTTGGGGAAAAAACCAGAAATTTCTCGGGAAATGCCGGAAAAACTGGAAAAAGTGGTAGGAAGTTGGGAAAATCTAGGAAAGTGGTAGGTAGGATGGGGGGGGGGGGTCGTATTCTGCAGGAATTTATCACAGCGCGATGGCGTGCCCTGGTTCGTACGATAAGAGAGGTAATCCTTTGATAAACGGATACAGTGAGCAATGCTAAACATTCAGCACTCATATACAACACTACAGGTGGAAACGTCTTACAGGACCTCCATAGTTCCCTTTTTAACAGAACTACAAACGCATGGCACATCTGAAAACTTTGGCCACCCGACAAAACCAATTTTATTTTTTTATTTTATGGGATACTAACTGGTCTGCTTGTAATTTTCTCGATATTTGCAGGATAATCAGCACGTGAAAGGTGATGATGAGAACCCATTATTCGTGAAGAAACTGATACCAAGGGGAGAAATACTGAATCTACACGACAATAATAATCGTCTCCTTTGGTATATCGAATATTCCACGGTCACTGTAGAGGTAGGAAGGTTTCTTAGCACTTTTTATACGCTTCCAAGGATAACGTCGGAAATAATGTGAAAAACATTAATAATTGAGTAGAATTATTTCAGAGCATAGTGCATGCGATACAAAGTTCACAAGCCTGCAAATATCAATTTTGGCAATTCGAAAACATGCTACGCAAAGTTATGGCACAGGTAAGAAAAGGGGTAGTTGCTCCAAGAACACTCATATTCCGAACCTAATCTTGAATTTTCATTCCGAAATTGCTCAAGTTTCTGTTTCTTCGACACCTAATAGTAAAGCAGTACAATCAAAACTGAACAAATTAAGGTGCTGTTCGGCTTGGAGGGGCCATTTTGCACACTCGCTAGCTACTTTTGTTAGTTCATGTTGACTAAGGCTGCGTTTATACTTTGCGGCAGCGTAGCGTAGCGTAGCGCAGCGTAGCGTAGCGCTTCCAGCGTACGCCAGCGGCAGTGCCGAAGAGAGGATGCATATCGATCTAGCTTCACCAGCGTCACCAGCGGCACGCTGGCGTACGCTAGCGGCACGCTAGCGTACGCCAGCGTTTCTCCAGCGTTTCACCAGCGTTTTGCTAGCGCTTGCAGCGGCAGGGGAGTAGAGACTGTGGGAGAGCTGGAGGGTACAAAACTCATCGATTGCGCGTCTCCCACTCGCCCTTAGTCTCTACAATGCACATCGCTTCTGCGTCTCCGACGGCCCCATAGTCTCTACGAGTGTCCACACGCTATCCCGCCACGAAAGTATAGCTTTCTGCGTCTCCGACGCCACATAGTCTCTACAATGCACATCGCTTCTGCGTCTCCGACGGCCACATGGTCTCTACAATACACGTCGATTCCGCGTCTCTCACGGCCACATAGTCTCTACTCCCTGCCGCTGCAAGCGCTAGCAAAACGCTGGTGAAACGCTGGAGAAACGCTGGCGTACGCTAGCGTACGCCAGCGTGCCGCTGGTGACGCTGGTGTGAAGCTAGATCGATATAGCATCTCTCTTGCGGCACTGCCGCTTGGCCTACGCTGGAAGCGCTACGCTACGCTGCCGCAAAGTATAAACGCAGCCTAACAGGTCTCCTTTTGGCCAGACCTGTAAACTACATAGGGCGAAGGCTGTGAAATGGTTTGAGTAGGGCAACTTGATCAAGGAATTCACACATCTTTACTGTAATGCTCAGCTGAGTATCATCTGTTGCCTCCACCAGCCCAACTACACCCTAATAAATTAAGCCTACTGATAAAATCAGTTCGGAAGCAAATGTGTTTGTAGATAATTATTGTTTCCAAACGTGCAAATCGTTGTCACTTCTTTCTTCGGAAATTAATTAATTATTACTATGGGAACCGAGGAGTCAGTGACATGTGGCGCCGCCGGGCACCCGCGGTTGCGAGAACAAGTCTTGCCACTGTACTTCCACATAGGTCAACCTTATCTCTCTAGGGTCGGTGAGTTGGAACAGGAGTTGAGAGGATGGAATAATGTCTTTCTTCAAACACAGAATCATGTCACCGCATAGTCACCGCATAACTCGCTCAAATGCTGCTGCCATTCTGAGTTGAATTGCGATGCATGGCGCATCCGAAAGTAAGTCTGATTATCGTGAATCTTCATCTTTCGGCACTATGCACCCTTTACAGCTCCACCGCGCGAATCTAGGTCAGATTTTATCCAAATTTGTCCCTGCATTGGACTTCGTTAGGAAATTCCTCCAAGAATAATTTGGTCCCTATAGGCTCAAATATGGGGCTTATGGGTTATCATGTGCGCTTGGTGTCGCCCACGCTGTAGGTGTCTACAACTCTCAAAGAGAGAACTGGTTTTCATTTATATACACCATTTTTTGCGTTTTACATCGTTCACTTCACTTTCACTTCGTTTCGTTTCACTAACTTCACCATAAATAACTACTAACCTTCTATGTTACATAGTGTAGCTTTCATAACATAAATTATCGAATAAAAAGTTCAAACGAAAGTATGATACTGAAACAAATAGTATAATATATAATTATGGAAAGAAGAATAAAAAATAATAACAAAATTAAAATTAAAAGAAAATATCGAGTGACAAGGGAAATCATTATGTATCTGATAGTAATTAGAAATGTCTATAAAAAGAGTGGAAAAATCAACAAAAAGTTGAACGATTCGAAAAGACTATGAAAGGCAAGTAGATTAGCAAAAAAGGATAAATAGGTCTGTATAAAAACACTGTCCAGTCATGTTGGTTGCGGAAGCTGGGGCGAATCAGGGGTCCGGGATAGGCGTGGCGCCAGCCCGTTCTACCAACTGTTGCCGCTTGCCTTCTTCAACTGAGGATGCAGGACAGGCTGGCCCGAGCCATGCCCAGACCCCCCCCCCAATACGCCCTAGCATCCACAGAGAACAAGGCTGTAACTTCTCTGGGAACAGTAGCACATTGAAAGATTACAGGAAGAAAAAACCGGACGACTCAGTGGGATACGGCATGTTATTGACATGAGCGGATATGAAATCAATCCCTTCACAATGGTATTTGTTAGCAGTGGAACATTGGCATATTATTCGCAATTGCTCCATTACGAAAATTATCCGGAACTTGTAAGTTACTCTCGTTCATAGTACAATTTTTATTCTAGTTGGTACAAAGCGATTAGTTCTTGGTGACCGTTTAATTTGCGAAAAAAGAGATTGTTCTCGAGAAACCAATTTCAGCAGCTGTAGCACTGGTGTTAAAACCAGCACGTCTTTTGGTCAGAGTTACAGTTATAGTACAGCATCGTGATGTGTGAAATGATATTGTCAGTACGACCTGACAACCCCCCCCCCCCATCCTCCGAGGACGGGTCTCGGTACTACCCCTTTCCTCCCTTAGCACCTCCTTCAAGTTCCCAGCTTCCTACCAGTTCTCAAATTTTCCAGTTTCTCATCCAACAATTTTCCGTTGGGGAGAGGTGGGAGGGGGGGGGGAAGCGGGAATATATAGCAAATGTGAACGGGAAAAACCGCGAAAAGTCAACAACCTGGAAAAATTTCTTCCCAACGCGGCAAATTTCTCAAGGGCACGTACGACCACCGTCCTTTCCCAACAACGACCAAATGCGACCCCTCCCCCCATCCCCAGCGGCCAGCTAAGACCCCCCCCCCATGTGTTTCACACAACACTGGTTACAGTCCTACTATTTCAGGTGACTCCAGTCGATATCGTGAATATTGCGAGATGGATTCATGTCCCTTATAAAATTGCCAAAACAATGATGCCAGCAGGATTTTCTGACAGATTCCGACTTCATGATAGTAACTTCTTGAAAGCTTTAACAGAGGATATCGATATAAACCATATTCCAACCACACTCGGTGGAAGCCATGAGGTAAAATAATTCACACGAACTAGGTTGCCTTCGCTTTCCGCTGAGGGAGAACCGGAGAAGAAAAGGTGGGCAAAAGTACATGTGACAGCCGAATCACGTCACGTCTCTCTCTGTCTGCGCCCTCTCATCGAGTAGAGAAATAGCGCATATGGTCATTCTAAGGTTTCCAGAAGACGTGGTAAGAAAGTACAGGCAACAGACATGTCGCGTAGCGACGCAGCATAGCCATGCACCCCGCCCCCATCCCTAACCAACCTCCCTATCGGTTAGGAGAGCGGGAGAATCTACACCATAGCGAGTACTGACTTTTCCATCTGTGCGAATATGTGGAGAGTCAGGTTGAGCTTCTCTGCCCGCGATTCTCCACATTGACCATTCGCATCCAAGCGCCCTACACGGTAGAATTCGATTACGAGTGCATGCATGAACGGTTCACTACAACTTCTCACCTCCTCCAGTACACGACCCCTCTCAAAGAAGGGTCTAAACCATCCCCCCACATCGAATCTTCCGTAATGTGGATCATCTCGTGAACCATCAGGAAGAGTGCCTCGCCGCCGAGCGGTTCAGGGACTGTGAGGCTGGGACTACGCAGCACGCGTAAAGGGTAAAATAGCCATCAAAAATTCTTCAAGATGCGGAATCTGACCCCTTTCCCCTGGCGAACAAATGTGATCTCCCTCATGGGTTTCGCACAACGCTGTCTGCACGATCCTTCAGTTCTCAAGCGGCGGAAGGTATGAAAGCGGTCCCACAAAGAATACTGTATCAGTTGTGGACTAGCATCTGAAGTACTATATGTTTAGGGCATTATCTGCGTTGGAGCAGAACGAGTACTTCCAAGTGAATACTGGACTCCTGAGAACTCCGATCTCATTCATCATCTAGAACACCTCCATATTCCCTGCCAAAGAAGACCCGCCATATAACAGTGGAGATTTGTGAACCGAAAATGTTGCGATGGTATTTTCGAACGGATGGCGACGTATATTTTGGAGTGTTCTATGAGGTGAGATTTTGATATTTTGATACACAGTGCACGTCAATCGTATGGGCGGAACTGGACCTACATGCTAATGCGCCTTTGCGCTTACTCAGTGCGATACTTCTCCGGTAATAAGGAGCGGTGCGTCAATGTAGAAAGCGCTATTATCTGTCCAGCTCCGAATAGGGTCTTCAACCGGAAAATTGTGAGACTCCGCTTATGATCACTCGTAATTATTCTCTTATGACGTCAATTTTCTTACTATTATTATCATTATAATTGGTATTATTAGTTCCGATGGAAAAGGAAAGCTGGCTCAGAACGTTGCTCGGTCTTACACTGTTCCTTATCAAACTAACAAACCAACTGTCGCTTAGTGGACTCGTAAACTCATCTGAGATGCGTTCCACGATTAGCGTGAAGGCGGAACTCGTAATAAGTGTCTCGTCTTGGTGCGCTTTTTCGCTTTATCGTCTTGTGAACGGGAGCTCAACCACGAGGAAGGCACAATTGGAGGAATCTCTTCACCTACACGGTGAGCGTGGATCGCGTCTTCAAAGACATATTGTTCAATCACTAAAAAATAGTCCCTGCCCCCCAACCTCCCTCTCCAGGTAAAAAAACTCCCGTCCGCCAATTTTCAAACTAGATTCCTTTTCCGAATCACTCACCCTGCAAGCTACGTCTACTGGCTCTTGAAATCACTCTTTAGTTAGTGATGCGATGATTTATGCCTAGTAAACCCATACTTTATGGGAATCGCTTTGGAGCGTATGTAACCAGTCGTGCACTTTTTTGGGTCCAGTAGCCTTGGAGAGGGCATTTGAAGGGCTTCCCGTACGAAGGTAGGATTCCTGCTTTGCAGATGAAGACTTCTGCCTGAGCCCGGGGAGGACCCTGAGGTCGATACTATTAGTTTGGATCACGTCAACTATATGAAAAAGGAAATTTCTCCATGGATGACGTTACTCAAACTTTTGCACGAGAAATCCTTTCTGTTTTCTTATTTAGCCAGCTTTCGCCATAAATGCTTGATTGTCTTCGAGATTGTCAAATAAATAAATAAATAAATAAACAATAAATAAATAACTGAGTAGATAAATGAACCAATAAGTAAATAAATAAATGCCCTCCTTTGAAAAATACTTGCGTTTTTTTGAATAGTAATTTTTCAGAGCAAACTTGATGCGAAAAACGAGCATCATTTGGATATTGAGTCTATGGAAATGCATTACCCATGGCTGAAACTAAGTGCTAAACTGGTACACGAGAATGACTCTGTGAATTGTCAGAAGAGCGGCAGGTACATAACTAGACTCGAGTTGAAATATTTAGTGACCAGAGGTCATTGCACCATCATTATTGGTGCCACTCCTCAAATCTCTTGAAAAAATTGTTTTAACGAAAGTCAGTCATGCTCCTTCAGGTACCATATTGTGTTCTGCAACCGACATTCATGGCTCTCACGACGAACGATTGATCACTACATTACTGTCACAGACATGGAAGGGAACTCTGAACGAATTCATTCCGATGGCAGCTTCTCTCCAGCTATACAACTGTAGAAAGAGCTTCACTTCTTGTGCACCTCACTGCTATGTATATTATGTTTCTGTGAGCAGAAACTAAGCTTCTACAAGGGTGTCATGAAAAGATTAGACATGTTATGATGTTTAGTGATGGTTCCGACAGGTTGTGCTTGGATGTTTCCCTAATAATGTTTATCAATTCTCAACTATATTCAGGTTTAATGTAGAGTCTTTCAAATTTCGCATTCTATCTTGTACGAATAGATTTTATGAATTCTGAAACTTGGAATGAATTCTAATGAGTTTTTGAATGAGGAACAATTTTTTCCCTCTTGATTCCGAGTAAGGGGAAGGACACAGTCTTCTAGTTTATTCTCTATTTATAACGTCCCGATAAATCTGACTCGTGGGCTGATGAATGATAGAACTTGAAGCCATCTTGAAGACGAACGGCACGATAAATCCCAAGACATGCAGGATTGAAACGTGTAGCAGGACAGAATTTGGCACCCTTAGCGGCGTGGCACCTTTCCTACAAAAGGCGCTCCCTTACAGCGCCTTGTCAAGCTACACAATGCCGGACCGGTGCTCTGCTCGTATCGCTCCATTTTTGCAGTACAGTATGAAGCGAAGGGATGATATGAAGAGCTTGCGATGCTGCATGGATATATGAGTACATAGATGCAGCCGTATCTACCGTAGCGGTTATTGGCACGATGAAATCGTGGACGTCGTCCGAAATTGCTTGCTGAGTTGCGTAGAACAACAGCCTTTTTGTAGGCTTTTGATGGTTTCACTTCAGTTTTTCGCCATTTTCCCACTGTGTAGCAGACTGCAAGCCGAAACCGAGTACCAAATTATCGTACCATATCCCTTTCAAATATAGGTCTCATTGGCCTTAACCGAGCCCATCAGACACTGTCTCAGTGAGGGTGCGACGATCAGGGTGTACAGCGCCATTTGGCCTATGGCGAATTTAATAATGCGAGATGGGGAGCGTGGGGGTGAGAGTCAAGTTTGCTGTGTGTCCTCGACGTGAAATCATGGCTGAGCCGTTGGCAAATGAGGTTGCATGTTCAATGGTCGCGTATGAACACGCAGTCACTGCAGACGCTGGGCAGTGTCGGCGAAGGGGGCTGGAGGGAAGGGAGCTGGGTCTTGAGCTGCGCCAGCTGCGCCACTATTCCACTGTTGCTTGCCCGCCCCAGTGTTAGAAATTGGGGTGTAACTATAAAGTTTCTGCGTGAAAAGGAAACAAAGCTACTTATGAGAGCATGAAGAGGCATCAAAGAATTTCATTGCAAACAACGCTGGAGATCCAGAAAAATTCGATATTCTTGAATTTGAAGGTTCTTGTTTCTTCATATTTCTTTTTTTCTTGTTTCTTCAAATTTCATTTTTCTCCAGAGCATTGGGGCCCTCTGCTATAACCGTTTCTTAGGCCTCTTTTTGTGCCTCATTTAGATTTTTCTGAGACTCGGGAACAGTACGCTATTACAGAGCACGTGCAATGTGGAGACATCTACAGGAAGCAATGCTGCTAAGCTGACGCTGCTGAAGATCCAGATTAGTAAAAGAACATGCTGATACATCTATGTACGAGAATTCCCTAGGAGACGGGGGAAAGGGACAGAGGCCACAGTAACATTGAACAATCACGAACCCACAGTCTCCTTACTGCGCGCTTATTGATAGGGAAAATGCTTCACCTCTGATTGCGAACCTGCCCTCCTGGTTCGCAGAAAAGATCCATTTTTCAGGTGATTGTACCGTTTCTCTTCAAAAATCCTGTGCAATGAGAGACAGACTAGTTGTCTTTCAAAAGATGAAACCGTTCCAGTCCAGTCCCATTAACACGTTGACGATGAGCCATTTTTCCCATGACTTGCGCCTGGGACGGCACATTTTTCTACACTGAAACTTAGTAATTTCCAAATAAATGAATTACTACGACCAAAATCTATCGAGAAATGCAAGAGACGAGTATAGCAATCTCGAATCTTGACACAATTTAGCTCTTATTGCTCCATCCCAAAATCAGGCCATTTTTTACCGAATTCCTCCTCTTGAATTGACTGAAAATTTGTCTCCCGGGGTGGTTTGATCCTAAAGAACAATATCGCATCCCTCGACCCGAAAATGTTTGTTCTTGAACTAATTTATGAAAAGAAAGTGAAACAATCGCGCAGATCTTGAGTTATATAATAACTGTGGGACAGCATTGGGCGACGCCGTTCCACAAGACAAACTTTCTGTCGTCCACCATTGACGGAAATCGTCGTCAACGCGTTAAGTGGACATGATATTTTTGTTGAGGGGGTCGGTTCACCGGTAGGGACAAGTTTTCAGGGAATTTGATGATCTAGGACATTTTGGCGCGGGCGCCAGGCAGTTTTGTGGCAAGCGATTGTGATATTTGTGTTCAGGGGTCAAGCTAACCCACGGCCACCGGGGACATTTGCGGGAAACGAATGCGATATTCGTGTTCAGGCATTCAAGCTACCCCACGAAACAAGTTTTCAGCGCTTTTGGTGACCTAAGGTATTTTGGCGCCTTGGCGCGGGCGCCGGGCAGTCCGGGCCAAACCACTGTGCTGTTCGTTTCAGAATTTCAGCCTACTCCTATAGACATCTTTTGAACAAACTTGGTTGCTCGCACGTCTTTATTATTAGAGCAGTATGCTGTCGGACAGCATTGTCCGACACCGTCCCATGAGACAGACTGGCTGTCGCCCACCATTGTCCGACACCGTCGTCAACGTGTTAAACAGGGAGGGTAAGTTCACAGTTTATAAGGATTATTAGAAACCGTATGAATGGGATTTCAGTGTGCCAACTCGACCGCCGCACTTTTATGCGCCCTGTTTACGATTTTTGTAAGGAAAATAACGCTGCGATCGGAACTCAAAAATCAGTTGGAGAAGTTGTTTTTCACACTGCATCAGCAGTTCTTGAGTAGATAAGAAAGCCATTTTCTGATGATCGGAAAGGTACTGTCTTATCTCATGGGAACGCCCAGTCATTTGACGAAAGTTCACTAACTCAAAACAAATTGTAAGAGTTACAATGTTCTATCAATACAATGTTCTATAGTAATGTTCTTCATCACGTGCAGTACACTTCGTAGATATTTTTACTACGAATTTGTCTCTAGGGCACAACATTGTAACGAGGAAAATTGGCCGCACAGGCAAATAAGATTTGCAGTCCGATAGACTGCTACCGCAACCGATACACTTGCAAAAATTGCCTAAGCTTCAGATTCTTCTAGATAGCAATGTGAAAACGGCCCTACAACTAGCCGTCTGATGCGACTTTCGCCATAGTAGTTTATACCCTTGATGAGAAGGTTGTTCGTCCTTCATTGTTCTCCCATCACATATCCGTGTGCGCAGCTAAGGAGCGGGGACGATCCA